GTGTCTGTGTTAATTGGTTTCCCTTTTCTTTGTTGAAGAGGGTCTGTGCAATCCTTCTGCCTAGTCCGCCATCTTGCCCCGCCTCCAACCTATCCTGTCTTGACAAGAATTATAAAACCTATGGTCCCTATATGTAATTTATGTGATGTTCAGTTTTCATAAGTAAAAAATATAAACATAAAATGTTCTGATGTATGGAAAGTGAATTTGCTCTGTAAACTTTCACCAAAATCACTATTAAAAAAAAAGAAAAAAGCACATAAAATGTAATTACTAATAATCTGAAAAAAATCAAGTATCAATGCATTGTGTTCTTCAATTTACTTGAATTTATGGATATAAAAATAGCAGCAAAATAAAGAAGACCTATAATGGTTCTGGAAGGTAAGTAAGTTGCTATGATATCAAATAATCTTATCTTATAATATCTTACTATGCCAAAATTTATAGAGAATTTGCATTCACATTGAAGGATATAAAACATAGAATTACAACTGACCAATATAATGAACACAGGCCCAACAAATCAAGTGATTAGGCAGAATAACCACTGAAGTTCCAGCCTAAGCAACAAAAATGTAAAAGTAATTCCCAAAGTTACCAGGTAAATGTCTAAAGGACTGAGTTAATTCAACTCCATTTGAAAGAGTGGATATATTTTTAAGAAGAAACCAGCAATAATTCTTTAATTCTGCCAAGATATTTCAGAGAAGTCAACTGATGTTTATTATTGTTTAATATTCTTCACATTATAAGCTTTCATTTATTTAAAGGATTCTTACCTAGTTACAACCTGATGTGTATAAGCTCTATTGGGGCTCCCAAATGATTTGGCCAGGCCAAAATCTGCGAGTTTTAAAACTCCATTTTCATCTAGCAACAAGTTGTTTGGTTTCAGATCCTGTATCATAGAAGTTTTAAATAAACAAATAAGCAAGCAGAGTGAGAGAGAAACCCATAGTAAGAAACTCTAAACTTAACAAAAGCATAATGTCCAAAATTTTAAAACAATCAATATACTTCTTATAATGATGAATAATTCCATCAGAGCAAAATAAGACTGATGTTATTACAGACTGAGACCTTTGGTCAAGGTACTCATTTCGATGAGATTCAGTTTACCTACCTCACATGAGTTGTTGTGAGGATTAAATTTGATATTTTCAGTAAAAAGCCTAGTATAATGACTGGTTCACTAAATGGTTAAAATAAAAAACCAAAAAACTCACTGTAGTCAAATCAGATTCGACTCATAGCAACCCCTCCTTGGGTTTCCGAGGCAGTATCACTACAGAAATAGATTGCCCAACCTTCCTTCTGAGGAGTGGCTGGTGGGTTTGAACCTCCAGCCTTCTGGTTAGCAGTCAGATACTTTAGGCACTGTTGTTGTGTTGTTGTTATGTGCCGTCGAGTCGGCCCCGACTCATAGCGACCCCTCCTTGGGTTTCCGAGGCAGTATCACTACGGAAGTAGGATTGCCCAACCTTCCTTCCGAGGAGTGGCTGGTGGGTTTGAACCGCCAGCCGTCTGGTTAGCAGGCAAGTGTCTTAGCCACTATGCTACCAGAGCTCCCTTTTAGGCACTACCTACTATTAATTTAGTATCAACAATAGAAATGAACTTTAGCAAATAAAAACATTTTGCATTTAGAAAGGATATATAGCCTTCAAAATCTATGTTTAAAGATATTAGCAATAACCTAAAAGATATTCCTAAGGTTTGAGAATTACAAACTATAAATTGCTATTGGCTATTTATTTAAAAAGAGTCCCTACAAACCTTATCAGCCTTATTTTAGTAGCTGAATGTTCCTAAAAATGATACAACCATTTCATAAATTTTATTTCATAACTTCATAGAATTTTAGAGCTACTATAAATATTATTTCTCTAAAGGTGCTTTAACATTTTATAATTTAACCCAGAGTCATGTAACAAACGAATTGCAAGAACAACACTGGACTTAAAAGACTTTGGCTCCATACTCGTTAGTTACAGCTGTCTGGCCTTGAAAAAAAAATGAAACCCTGGTCTCAGGTCACTTAGCAACTTTGTTCTTCATCTATGAAAAAAACAAATCAAGGATTAGACAGCCAATCCTTCTAGGTCTAAACTGTACATAATAAACTTAAAGTTCTCGCAGCACCATCTGGTGAAACAACTGAAGGGAACACACAGAGGAAGATGGTATGATAACACAGTTCAGGTATATCTTGTGTTTAGCAATTTATGTATTCATATCATTTACGAACTAAACTGGCTACACAAAGCTTGACTATAACATAAAGAAGCTATCATACTAGGTGTATTTCCTTACCCTATGTAGAATCCAATGCTGATGTAAATATTCTAATCCTTGAAGAGTCATCAACATGTACGCTTTGATGTGTGATGGTGTCAGCACAAGACTATTATCCTTTATTATAACCTGTGAAGCAATGTATGAGCAAACTTTATTATTCCAAATAAACTCCATCTGTCTTCCTTGATGACATTTCTCTTCAAATTTTTTCTTCATTTTTTAAAATGGGGCTGTTTGTTTTTGTACTACTATATTTGAGGGTTCTTTATAATATTCCGGCTACAAGTTCTTCACTAGATATGTTTTGGAAATGTTTTCACCCTGTCCGAGGTTTGTCATTTCGTTGTCTTAAAAAGAATCTTTTTTTCCCCTTGTTTATAAAGCCAATTTGCATTTTCTATCAATTACTACTAAGAGAATCCTGTATTCTTTCAGAAAAATGCACAAGGTACATAATTATTTTGAAATTCAGTATTAATGTATTTAGGATTTCTCAAAAAGAAACCTGGCTTTCAAAAGGTTTTTTGAAAAATCCATCAGCCTCACTGCAGCCTGCAGCAGAGCTGGAAGCCCACAGCCATTGACATCTCCCGTCAGAGCAACATTCAAGCTAGTGAAGATGTAAAAGATACCTTTGCCAAAACAAAAAAATGGAAAATAAAGACTTCTGAAAATACCTATCAAAAATGAGCAACTTATGATTGGATCATGTAGTTAACCTTCAGATTCACAGGATAACGATTATGATTTCTTTGTTCTACCCCTGCTAGAAGAAAAACAACTATGTTACGTATTATTCAGGTTACATTCTCAGAATGCCCAGGAATATGAATGGATATTCAATGCATGGTCTCCAGATCATTCTCATATTCATCAAAAAATGTTACATCCAGCAACAAGAGTGTAGTAGTTATGTTTGTGTGTCAACTTGGCTGGGTCTGGTTGAGTGACTGGGCAGCTGGTGGTAGTTATTCCCCATGATGAGACTGGTAGTCAGCTCCATGGTGGGATCTACCACAAGCAGCTGAATAGCTGCCTTGTGATATGGTCTGCTTCCTGTATGTAAGGAGAAGCTTTGAGAATGGTCTCTAGCCTATGGCACGCTTGGACCCTGCATGTAGCTGTGTCATTGCTCAGCAGCCAGCTATGCTCTGCCGACCTTGTGACTTACAATGGACTTAAGTTAATGGCCTGCCGTATGGTTTGGTAACATCAGGACTGTGCCTTTACCTGTCAATCTTGGGGCTTCTTAGCCTCAGCAGCATGCAGCTGTCTGAGTGAAGCAATGCCTCTAGCTCCAGTGGGCTGAGAGCAGGAGGCAAAGCTGGACCCCAAGGTTGAGGGGCTTTCACTCAGCCCCTAGAACCTGGCACTTTGAACTTGGACTTAAAACCTTCAAATTGTAAGAATAAACTCCTGTTTGTTAAGACCATCCCATTTGTGGTATATTCCTGTTAGAGCACCACTAGGTAACCAGAACAAAGAGCAACTCTGAAAAAATGATTTTGGAGACAGCCATATTAAAGATGAAGTACTTGGAACAGTAAAGGAAACTTTATCACAACATGGATAGAAAAAGTACTTGCTATCACAATCTGCCCCTGCTCTGTTGACTGAAGCTGAGGAAGAATTACAACAGATTAAAATTAATGAGGTACAAACTGATGTGAGTCTAGACACTAGGCAACAACCACTACAAGGAGGAGTATGTTCTATTTCTCAAGAGGCTTTTCAGGCTTTGGAAAAACTGAGTAACAGCTCAACTATGTGCAACTGGAAATAGATTAAAAAAATGAAATTATAATTTTGGACAACACTACAGATACAGAACTAAAAGATTTGCCAAAAAGGATTCCCAAGGATTCAGCATGTTACCATTTCTTTGTGTATAAACATTCCTAGCTTTGGTGGCATAGTGCCCAAGTCATCTGACTGCTAACCAGAGGAATATTGGGCAATCTACTTCCGCAGAGATACCGCTTTGGAAACCCAAGGAGGGGTTGCTGTAAGTCAGAACTGACTCGAAGGCAGTGAGTTTTTAAATTTTTTTTTATGAAGGAGTCTTTTAGATCCCAAAGTTTTTATTTATTCAATGCCTACGTATACTCAGTTTAAGAGAATGGATGTTGTATTCTAGCTTCAAGAGTCCTCTGCTAGAACAGAGAAGAATGAAGAAAAACAAATATGCATGGAAACAAGTAGTCCAAGGGACTAGCAGACCATGTGAGCCTCAGCCTATAAGACCATGAGACCAGAAGAACTACATGATAACCAGCTACCACTGTCAACCACTTGGAGGAAGATTGGTGCAGGAGATCCTTGACAGAGGGAGAGAACAATGTGGAACAAAACTCACAATCATTAAAAAAAAAAAAAAAGATCAGGTTTGCTGGTCTGATAGAGTCTGGAAAGACCCCTGAGACTATAGCCCTTAGTTATCCTTCAGGTCTGGAATTGAACTCACTCCTGTGGCTTCCAGCAAAACACATACAGGCATATGGAGTAAACATTTACATCAGGTAGATACCCTCCTTGGAGCTATTAATTGTGGAAGAACAGAAGGGCAGTGTTTACACAGGTAGACAACTTGTGGGACAGGAGTGCATGGGAGTGAAGGACACAGGGAAGAGGTAAGTACAGGGAAGAAGTGGGAAGAGAGCTGTTATACTGTGGGGAATTGAAACCAATATCATGAAAGAAAATGTGTATGAATTGCTGTATGAAAATAAACTTTCATCAAAATCACAACAAAAATTAAAAAAAGAAAAGAGTCCTCTGCTAGCTCTGCTAGAAACTGTAGAATGATAACTCTAGAAATGGATGCAACAAGAAAGATTGAGATAATGGGGATGAATTGACTACAGACTTCCTTTATGAAGAATTATACCCCAAGAGGCATATATTTGCAAAAACAAAAGATCTTGCAGGAAAAAGAGGAATTTAAGACTAGTTAAGAGTCCAGCTGAAAATGAAGCCACTACTGATTAAAACGATTACATTAAATATAACAATACTGTTGTTGTTAGGTGCCACTGCATCGTCTCCAACTCATAGCAACCCTACGTATAGCAGAACAAAACAATGCCTGGTCCTGTGCCAGCCTCAAGATCCTGGCTATAACTGAGCTCAGCATTGCAGTCACTGTTGTCAATACATCTTGTTGAGAGCCTTCCCTTCTTCCTTGACCCTCCACTTTAGCAAGTATATGATATCTTTCTCCAGGGAATGGTCCCTTCTGACAACATGACCAAGTAGGTAAGACAAAGTCTGGCCATTCTCGCTTCCAAGGAGCATTCCGGCTGCACTTCCAGGACAGATTTGTTAGTCCTTTTAGCAGACCATGGTACTCTTAGCATTATTCTCCAACACCACAATTCAAAAGCATCAACTCTTCTTTGGTCTTCCTTATTCACTGTCCAGCTCTCACACGCATAAGAGGTGAATGAAAATACCATGGCTTGGGTTAGGTGCACCTTAGTTCTCAAGGAGATATCTTTGCTCTTCATCATCTGAAAGAGGTCTTTTGCAGGAGTTCTGCCCAATGTAATATGTCATCTGTCGTCTGATGTCTTGACTGCTGCTTCTATTGGGTTGACTGTAGAAACAAGTAATATGAAGTCCTTCATAACTTCAATTTCTTCTCCATCTATCGTGAAGCTGTTGGACCAGCTGTGAGGATTTTTGTTTTCTTTATATTGAGGTGTAATCCATACTGCACACTTCATCAGTAAGTGCCTCAAGTCATCCTCACTGTCAGCAAGCAAAGTTGTGTCATCTACATATCTTAGGTTGTTAATGAGTCTTCCTCCAATCCCGATGCCACATTTTTCTTCATATAATCCAGCTTCTTGGATTAGTTGTTCAGCATACAAATTGAATAAGTATGGTGAAAGGATGCAACCCTGACACACTCCCTTCTTGATTTTCAACCATGCAGTATCCCTTTGTTCTGTTCGAACGACAGCATCCTGATCTATGAAAAGGTTCCTCATGAGTACAATCAAGTCTTCTGAATTCCCATTGTTCTCAGTGTTATCCATAAATTGTTATGATCCACACAATCGAATGCTTTTATATAGTCAATAAAACACAGATAAACAACTTTCTGGTATTCTTTGCTTTCAGCTAAGATCCACCGGACATAAGCAATGATATCCCTGGTTACACATCCTCTTCAGAATCCAGTTTGTATTTCTGAAACCCCGGTCAATATACTGCTACAACTGTTTTTGAATTACCTCCACTAAGATTTTACTTGCGTGCGATATTAATGATATTGTTTGACAATTTCCACATTCTGTGGGATCACCTTTCTTTGGAATGGTTATGAATATGGATCTGTTCTAGTCAGTTGGTCAGGTAGATGTCTTCCAAATCTCTTGGCACAAACGAGTGAGTGCCTCCAGTGTGGCACTAACAATACTAGTTCTTCTAAAAGTCCAACTTTTAGTACACAAGAACTGAAATCAGTTCATGTTTATATATAGGGAAAAAAACAGTAATTTTTAAAAATTAGCACCTTTCACTTTTATGTTTTTAAAATTATTGTTATAGAAGACTCATGATTTCTATTTTGAGTTCAACTTACATTCCCAATAAATTTATATAGCAGTGAAGAAAAAAAAAAAAGGATGACATTATTCTGTGATAATAAAGAAGGCAAAAACCTCTAAACTCTCACAGGACTATATTAATAAGGAAACTCAGAAGACAGAAATACTAAGAAAATGCAAACTTTTGTATTTAATACTGGGAACAGGCAGGAAAGCAGAGGAAAGTGAAGCCAGAGGGGATGACAGAGAAGAGCAGCAGACAGGGATCCAGGTGAGGGGAGAGACCCAGCCCCACCACAAAGAGGCAGGAAAGCGGGGGAAAAGAGAAATCAGAGGGGACAACAGAGCAGAGCAGCAGCCAGGGGTCCGGGTAAAGGGAGAGACCCAGGTCCTACCCCCACCAGGCAGGAAAGCCAGGGAAAGCAAAGCCAGCAGGGATGACAGAGCAGAGCAGTAGCCAGGGATGAGGTAAGGGGAGGGACCCAGGCCCTACCCTCAAGAGGCAGGAAAGCTGGGGAAGGAGAAGCCAGGGGGACGACAGAGCAGAGCAGCACCAGAGATCCAGGGAAGGGGAGGACGAAGAGGTTTCAAACAGCTAAGGGAGACAAATTTGTCTGTCAGTTTGTCGTACTATTGTGGTTTGTCTGTTGCTGTGAGGCTTGAGGCTGTGCCACCAGTGTTTCAAGTGCCAGCAGTGTCGCACATGGTGCACAGGTTTCAATGCAGCTAACAGACTGAGACAGACTAAGAAGAAGGAAGAGTCCATCCATTTCTAAAGAACTGGTCAGGCAAAACATCATGAACAGTAGAGAAACACTGTCTGAAACATTACTGTGCAACTTTATGAATAGCCCAGAAACATTATCTAATACAGTAGAGGAGTATGAGCCCTTAGGTCAGAAGAATGTCAAAATGTGACTAGGGAAGAGCTGCATCACCAGAGTAGGACCAGCCTTACTGACATGGATAAAATAAAGCTTTTGAGACCTCCATTTGATGAAGTGGCACCACACAAATTGAGGAGAAACAGCTGCAAACAACCATTAATAATAGGAATATGGACTATACGAAGTATGAATTTAGGAAAATTGGAAGTTGTCAAAAATGAAATGCAATGAACAAATATTGACATCCTAGGTGTTAGTGAGCCAAAATGGACTGGTTTTGGCCATTTTTAATCAGACAACCATATGATCTACTATGCCAGAAATGACAATTTGAAGAGGAATGGCGTGGCATTCATCATTACAAAGGATGTTTCAACACCTGTCCTGAAGTACAATGCTGTCAGTGACAGGATAATATCCATACGCCTACAAGGAAGACCAGTTAATACGACTATTACTCAAATTTATTCACCAACCACCAAAGACAAAGATGAAGAAATTGAAGATTTTTATCAACTTCTGCAGTCTGAAATTGACTGAACATGCAATCAAGATGTGTTAATTATCACTGGTGACTGGAATGCAAAAGTTGGAAACAAAGAAGAATCACCAGTTGTTGGAAAATATGGCCTTCATGACACAAATAAGGCTGGAGATTGCATGATAGAATTTTGCAAGACCAATGACTTATTCATTGCAAATACGTTTTTTCAACAACACAAACAGCGGCTAACACGTGGACTTCGCCAGATGGAATACACAGGAATCAGATTGACTACATCTGTGACAAGAGGCAATGGAAAAGCTCAGTATCTTCAGCCAAAACAAGGCCAGGAGCTGATTGTGGAACAGACCATCAACTGCTCATATGCAAGTTCAACCTGAAGTTGAAGACAATTAAAACAAGTCCACGAAAGCCAAAGTATGACTTTGAATATTTCCCTCCTGAATTTAGAGACCTCCTAAAGAATAGATTAAATGTGTTGAACACCAA